ATAATAAGAAAAAAAAGTTTTAAAACTATTATTGATTAAATAAAGTTATAATTTCATAAAAAATCAAAAAGAAAAATTGTTAAACAATATATTAATTCTTTTTAAAAATTAAAAGTTTTCAAATATAATGTTTCAAAAAATACTTTCTAAAAATACCTTTAAATATTTTTAATTATTAATTAAAATAGTAAAAAATTGAATAAATATTTAATTGCAAATACCTAAACTAGTTATTATTTCAAAATTTTTTTTGTTTTATGAATTTTTTTTTCTTTCTTAAAAAATAAAAAAATTTTATTTCTATAGAACTATAGTAATTAGATAGAAATAATAGTCTTAGATAAAAAGTTGGCTATGATGTTTAAATTAGTGGAAATTATTAAAATAAAATATAATTATTTTTCTTATTTCCTATAATTAGATTTAGAGATTCTAAGTTTATAATAAACATAAATTTTTTAATAATTATAAATTTTTTAAAAAATAAATTGATTTTTATAAGGATTTTTTTTTATTAAAATAATATATACAATATATAGTTTTTTTTAAAAAGTTATTTGGTAAGTTAATATTTGAAAATAAAAATATAACTATATATAAAATTCTTATTAACTTAATTAGTACTAATATTATTAATAATATGATATAAATTGATTTTTCAATTAATGTTAAATTGATATAATACATATAACTAACGCTTTTTCAAAATAATATTATATTATCACAAGTTCAAAACTTGAACAAAAAAAAAAAGTTTAAAGATATAATATCAATTTGATTCTAGTTTTTTAATTCTTATTTCAATAAAAACTTTTTTCTTTTTAAGTATCAATCAGTCAGTTTTATAATAAATGGTTTAATTGATTCTTTTAATAAATATTGTTAATTAACAAATTTTTTAGTAATAAAATTTTTGAAGATTCTGCTATTCCATGAAATTCAAATAACATCTATTAATTTTATCATTAAATTGAAATAGTTATTTCGAAAAAGTATTTTAAACCATTTTTAATAAAATAAATATATGTATATAATATTATTTAACAAAAACAAGTTGTTTATAATTTATTATCAAAAAAAAAAAAATTTTTTTTTGATATTTTTTCTAATAAAAAAAGATTTTAACAAATATCAAGTTCTTTTATTATTTTTTTTATCACTCATGGTATGCATATCTCCAGTATATTTCGCCATTCTTATTAATGCATAGATTACCAAGGATAGGTTGAGCTAGATTGGATTGACCGAGATGGTATACTATTCAAAGTTCTATGTGTTTAAGTTATGGTGAAGGGGGATCTCTGATTGACGCGGTGCTTTGTAAGTTGTATCAACAGAATCTGGGTCCCTGTTGCGATCACATGAGAGGCTTCATACGAGGCTTTAGGTTTTGGTTTGAGCTGATTCCTATTTGACTTGAGAAACTAAATTACGGATTTTTCGTCTTAAGCTTGCTTAATAACGCACGTTATTAACTTTTTCTAAATTTTTTATCATAGGTTTTGATCGCGAGAAAGTAACGTGATTAGCATTTTTAATTAATTATTTTTAATGAGATCGATCGATGTATTTAATAAATTAAAATTTTTTACGCAACAATAAAGTAAAATAAATTATAATATGGTGATATAATATACACAAAGAATTGCAACACGAAATTTAGTAAAGTGTCAATGCAAATGTAGATTACCTGAAACTTTGAAGATTTATTTTATTTGTTCTCGATTTATTTCTCAAGTTCTGTGCCTTTCTCTAAAATTTCTTAGATGAGAGAAAGCTTCCGTGCACAGTAATCAAAAGCTTCAGATGCTTTTCGTTTACTCGATTTGCTATCAAATCACTCGGTAATACAATACGAAGCTAATAAGTTTATAATTAATGTGTTACACATGTGGACGGACAGAATCCACACGTGACCTATATTTTCACCAAGGATCGTAAACATACAGTAGAATGTCCTTCGCTTTGCTTCGGACAATTATGCGTATGTCTAGAATTAATTATGTAAATCAATACAGTAAAATTTTAAAAGATCGTATCGTATAGTACAAAATAATAATAACATTAGAGATATAATTCGAAGACTGAAGTGAAGATATTTTCAAGGTAAATAAAATTAATAATTCGATGTTTATCGTTACCAAGATTTATGTGTTTAATTTATTTAATAAGGTTAAATAAATAAAATTAACTTGACAATTAAGAAGAATGCTAAATAAACTAATGAGACTGAAACAAAGAAATAAAGGAATAAGGGAGCTAAAAAGGAAGGACGATAGAGTAAAAGGAGGGGAGATGAAGAGTGATAAAAGGAGGATTAAAAAAGAATAATGTGAAAGGAGTAGTGTGAAAAAAAGCGGGATGCAGGACGACGGTTAGAAAAAGAGACAAGATTGTTCAGATTGCTCTGTGCATAAGTCGTAAAAGGAAATCATATACACGCAAATCAAAAATAATAATTTAATCGATTATATGTCAGTATGATGTGATATAAATGATTGCTAGAGAACTTACTGTTCATTATTAAGCATGACATCATCAATTTACAAGTGTTTATCAACATGAAGATATAGACTGGAAATAAGAATAATAATAACAAAAAATTATACACAAAAATATAATATAATTGTAATCTTTCGTTTGTTTCCCCGGGAAACCAATTGCAAAGACCCTAATATATAAATGATAGGGTGAAACAAATAATTCTATTGAAAATGTTGACCAATAAATGCTTGGTTAATAGTAGGTTTGTTATCCAATAATTCTAGCACCGAATGAGGAAAATGCGCCCGCAATCTCTCACAAGCCTCTGTTAGTCCAATTCTCGAATTAACAATAGTTATGATTTCAATTCCTTGATTTGGTTCAATAAAAACTTTTTCTCATCATTAAATTGTTCGTCGTCTATTATCGTCGTTTTTATTCGTTTTTTTTTTTTAAAAAAAAGCTTTAAAAGGGTAATAATGATAAGATAATCAAGACAATAAATAAATACAAAAAACGAACCATGACGGTCATTGCGAAAATTTTCCAAAAATTGGATTAATTTGTCCCTGTTTTTATTCAAAATATCCAGAACAGGTTTATTTTTGTTTGGATTCGCCACAAATATCTGTCATTCGAGAGATGAGACGCAAACTGTTAATGGTCCGAGACTTGAGATCTCGAAAATTAAATTAAGGAATGATTTGTTACCTTAAACACGTGAAAAGCTTCAAACTGAATGTTGCGACTTTTGTCTCTTAGTAAATTCATCATCAGCTTCAAATTTTCCGCACTCGCAATATATTTCGTCATGACATTGAAGTTGCAGCGATCCAATAAAATTTCACCAAGAAGCTAAATTTATAGTTTGTTCGATGCGCGAGAAGTTATATTCAATGCATGTATGCAACGCAATGCGGAAAATATTAATTAATGACTTACTTTTAGAGACTGCCGCTTGGTTACGTAATTGTTGGAATTCAACAACTTGGTATAAGACCTGAAAAACTATTGAGGCCAGAGCGAGTTATTATAGAGTATTGGATGTCGTGCACACAGTAGCATCAATGCTACGCCTACCGTGTCATAATTGGCATCCAAAAATTCGGCCACCAGAGATTTATGGCGGGTTAGTATTTCCTGTTGAGGGAAAAGATCTCAAAAGGAGAGCGACGACATGCAAGCCTCGACGATATTGGTAAATAGAATTTACCTTAAATGTGGCAAAAGCATCGCTTGCGATATCGAACGTACTCATTTCGACGTATTCAAAGAAATTGTAAAACTCGGAAGAATTTAGGATAATTTTTGTTAATGACTCATGTCGAAGACATTCTCTCAGGATCATTCCGCAATTAAGCGCTATTTCTGGATTTTCATATCTATAATAACAGGAAACGATTGCTAGAGGGATACATGATACAATAGAAGAAAACGCAAAAAACTGAATAATGAACTAACCCTTTGAGTAGCGCGAATAGAATTTCACCTCGACTCCTCAGATAGTCGACTGTCGGTGTCAATGAACCAATCTGTCTCCTCAAAAGATTATTGAATATCTGTGATACATCCTTTTTTGCCTAATAAATTAAAATGGAGTTTTATTATGTCAGAATGGTAAATGACATATATGCTTCGTCATTTGATGCCAACCTCGAATTCAAATCTCCAGATGTTTAGCACCAATAATTGCAAAATATCGTTATTGTAAACTTCCTGTGCTAGTTGCGCGACGGTTTCTGGTACCGGATCATTCTCTAAATTTTTAAAAACGAAGATCGAAATCAATTAATTATATGATAACGGTCGTGAAAGGACGAGCGTGCCATTCTCTCACCTCCGTCCCCGTAAAGGATGGTCTTCATCGTAGCCAAATTCTTCGAAATGTCTTCGCTTGCCTACGAAATGACATTTGGTGAGGACCATTCTTCTTATCTTTATCACTATACAGGTTGTTGAAAGGTCAGGAACCTCTCCTAACGGCGAGAACTTTTCGAAACCCCTTCAAAAGCCTTTCCCCAGACAACCTATACCAATATGAAACAAACGATAAACATTTTAACCAACCTTCTTCCTCTCCAAACCATCCAACTTGTTAATAGCTTCTTTTACGTTCCTCACCAAATCATGTGGTGTCTTTGGTTTTGACTTGAAAATTAAAAAGCTCATTGTTTCTATCGTATCTTTTGAGACTGGACTGAACAAAGTTGTGGGAAGAGGAACAACGTTTCTTTTTTAAAGGGAATAGTTATAGCTCACCCCGTATTTTTTTTTAACTTACGTATTTATATAACTAGGCTCCTATCCACCAACTATACCTTTATTTATTAGATCCTTAAATGCTTCCATCAGTATATTCTGGACGACGTGTCCGAGTGGTTAAGGAGTGTGACTAGAAATCACATGGGCTCTGCCCGCACAGGTTCAAGTCCTGTCGTCGTCGCTATTAACATTTTTTTCTGCGTTCCCTTATTTGTCTGTACAACGAACATCATTGAGTCATAAAAAGGGTTATTTTTTGTTTGTTATTTCCCAAACTAAAATATATCAATTTCTGACACATTTAATTAAATTTAGGATCAATCCTTTTAATTTGAAATTTAATTGCACATTAAAAAAATAATGATTTTTTTTAATGTTTAATTAAATTTGCAAATGGCTTATAAATTTCCAAATTAAGGTTGTCATTGAAACTACCTCAATCGTACTACCGAAAACGATATATATATTCATCACGTCTTTGTGCATCTGGGATATCTTTCTTCGGAGTAAAGATAAAACATCTCTTTAACTCAATGCCTGGTGCACATAATAGTTCTGCTGGAGCAAATTCCCAGAAAGTATTCCCTGATCCGTCCGAAGATTTATTTTGGCAGAATGCTTTTGAAGCTAACGAGAGACACGAGGTGGGTCCTGTGTGTTTATCTTCAAGAATTGTTTCCTCTATTACTCCGTGTACTAATAACAATCATCTATCGTTTAGAATGATGAAATATGGAATCCGCAAAAAATAAAAGAGCAGCAAGTCTCCACTTTTGTCATACCTCCACCTCCGCTTCCGCCAACGAACAACATAACCAGACATTCGCGTAAAAGTAGTAGGGTGTCGTGGAGTTTGCAAACCGACTCAGAAAGACACATTGAGTTATTAGGTATTGTTTTGATATTTTTTTTGAAGCATATATACCGCATATATACGTTGAGACGAATGAATTAAAAAATCGTTCATTTCAAACAGAAACAAAATTGAAAGAAGTGGTTTCCCAAGGTGGCACGAAAAGCAATTCGAAAACCGCCCCCGATGAATTTGAAGGTTGGTTGGGGTTAATTTGACGTTTGAAACATTTTTGTTTATGCTTGGTTCATCTATCTAAACCTGATTGACAAATGCCGTCATTGAAACACCCCCGTTGTCCATTTTAGGTTATTATCCCGAAGAAAATTTAGAAAATATGGATGAAGATTTACACGATCCTCTGGAATCGGACGAAGGATTATGGTTACTATGGAAATTTCCGCAAAACGTCAGTAGAGCTCAATCATCCACTTCAGACAATTGGAACCGTCTATCAGTATTAACAGGAAGCAATATCAATAATTCCTCACCGGTTACGTCACAAGGCAATAACACCAACAATTCAAATAATGATGATGACGACGACGATGACGATAGTATAATAGAACTATTAACTAATGGTGAAAGAAGAAAGAGTGAAAATGATTATTTATGGACGAGCGGAAATAGCTGGTTACTGTCGTACTGTATATCTTCGGTCATTCTTATGCAGAAATGGATTGGCTGTGGTACTTTTTGTTTAGAAGATGATTAGATTTCATAGTGCATCCACAAAATGATAGATTCATATGTTGAGGCTGGAGAACATAGATTCGCATATTAAGACTAAAAAACAATTTATATTACAATCAATCAAATACCCTTCTAATTTATTACAAAAACTTTCATTGGTTTTTTATTGTCATTTTTTCTTATTTTACCCAGTGCCCATGAGGGTATTGACAGTGGAAATCAATAGAATTGATGCCACAAGGAGAATGTTTGTTTTTTCAATGCTTCTGTAACATTCTTCAATTGGAACCTACTTTCCACCCCCTCCAAAGCTGCATTCCATCGATTCTACTCTTCGTAAATATGATCGAAACAAAGATTATATCGTTTAAGAAAATCAATCTTTGTGAATATTTCCAGATGTCTTCGTGAGTTCAAATTACAGTATATCACCTCTTGGTTTAAATGGTTTACTTCAGATTTACTTCAGAAGATTGTCATGAGAGCAAAGCATACATATAACATGCCAACAGGATATGCGACTAAAATGCGCTGTTCTGACATTTGTAATACTGTTACAAACATTGTAGACGAAGAATATGTACACCAAATGATCGCAAGAACGGATGCAATAATTCCCAATGGTCCACTATAATGATGAGCATATTAAGAAATAAATGAAAAATTCACACCGGGGATATATGACCGGCATACAATAATCATATCACTAGTGTAATGCAAATCGTTCTTACATACCTCAGTGGAAATGCAACACCCACGCAACTTAACAATACTAATGGCAACAAGCAATACCCAAGTACGCTCGCTGTTCGATACCCATCAACTCCTGATTCGCTCATGAGATTCAATATCATGTAAATGGAAATCCATCCAAGTAGGGCTACCCCATAAATATAACCAAAGTGAACTTTTCCTGTCTATGTAATTGATCATTTGGGGAAATTGATTAATAAATGGTTCAATTAGAAATCCACACTAACTCAGGGGGGCAAAAGGGGTATAACAAGTACCAGTAATAAACAAACACCGAACACTAGGCAAAATAAAAGGGGACCAGCCAAATCTGTGTCGTCCATTATATTTTTGTCAACACTCTTTAGGGGATTTAAAACTGCCAAACTCTGATCATGAAAAAAGAAGGTTAACATTAAAACAAAGATTCGCTTTGAAAAAATTTATTCTTAAAGATACCTTTGATTTTATATGTTCAAAATTGATGCCAAGTTCTGTTTAAAAAAAGGATCAATAATTCCATAACGTGAAACTCAAGAAATATAACAGGCTACGAAATACATTCATTACCCTCTAATAATGGCGGTTCATCAGGAGGACCTCCACCGGTTCCGAATGCGCTCCAAAAACCCCCCGTATTGTGGTGGTAACTCGGGTGCGGATAAGCATGGGGCTGTTGTGCATAGTAGTAGCCTTGGGTCGCATATGAATTGGAGGAGTCCCCATATGAAGTATTGTAGAACTGAAGTTTGTCTGGTGAGCCATGTTCATAAATTTCTGATCCTTCAAAGAGGACCGAATGCAGTTGTTCTTGAGCCATTTGATTTCGAACAACTCATCTAAGCCGTGTTTATATTCTGAATGATCATATGATAATGATTGTTTGATTGATCTGCAAACCGAGCTTATCAGTCACGTCTGGTTTATAAACACATTGTTTAATATATAAAGCATCTTTAGCAGAACTTGTTATAAAAATAAATAGGAATTCTATTTTATTTAAAATAAATAAATCTTTTGTTTGATACCATTTTTTATTAAAAAATTAATTTTAATGAATGAAACATATTTCAAAATTAACATATAGATATTTAAAATCTTTAAAAAAAAAAAAATAAATAAATAAAAATAGATTATCTTAAAATATTATAACAAATTAAAAATGATACAGTATTTACATTGCAATCAAGATTTTTTATTTTTATTTTTTTTTAAATATAAAAGAAGAGTTTCAAAAAAAAAAAGAAAGCGAGTCCATTTACTGTAATTCAAATATTTTCTATTATTTTAAGAAAAAAATTTTTTATTTAAATTAAAAGTAATGTAAAAGGGGTTCGCGTCGAAATTTCTAGAACCAATCAAAATAGAAATTTCGACTAATTAAAAAATTTATCTATTTTATACTGATCTCTAGATCTCAACTTACCAAAAATGCCCCTTCAACATAAAAAGTCGCATCGATCAAAAAATCGTAAAATTAAACTCGAACTAAACAGGAAAGAATTGAATGAATTGGAGACAAGATGCAAGAGTCTGGTAATTTTGCTTACTAATTCAGCAATTATCTTTGAAAGAAATTCTTGCAAGTCAAATTAATACTTAAATTTTACGTCACGCATCAAGGTTATCGACTCGGATTTCGAAAGATTCGACGAATTACCTTTGTCAAAGTTAACTCTTGAAGGTCTTCAGAAGTCAAATTACGTTGAAATGACGGAAATTCAACGTAAGGCACTACCGTTAGCCTTGAATGGTGGTGATGTTTTAGGTGCTGCTAAAACCGGTAGCGGAAAGACGTTAGCCTTTTTAATTCCAGTAAAGTGAATGACTTTTCATTCCAGAATTCATTCGGCAAGTTTATGAGAGAGAACAATTCTGAGAAAGTCAAGTTTTATAGTTAATCGAAACCCTATACAGAAGAGAATGGTCTCAAATGGATGGGTTGGGTGGCCTCGTCATAGCACCGACACGCGAATTGGTGTGCATCAGCTAAAATAGGTTTATTCGAGAGTTCATTACAAAAATTATGAGTTGTGGTTAATGCCTATATTTTTTAGGCTGTTCAGATATTTGAAGTCCTCCGAAAGATAGGACGACGACATTCTTTGTCAGCCGGGCTTGTCATTGGAGGAAAAGATTTACAAGTGGAGCAAGAGCGTATCAACAGAATGAATATCCTCATATGTACGCCTGGACGCTTGTTACAGCATATGGACCAGACAGCCAGTTTCAATTGTGATAATTTGCAGGTTTTAGGTTAGCGAATATGACTGGATTTACTAGATTTATAAGCTCTTAAAATGTTCTTGATCTTAGTTCCCTTCATTTTGATTTAATTAGTATTGGATGAAGCGGATCGAATCCTCGACATGGGCTTTGAAAAAACTGTTAATGCCATAATAGATAATCTTCCGAAGGAACGTCAGACCCTTTTATTTTCTGCTACACAAACAAACTCCGTCAAAGATTTGGCAAGACTTAGTTTGCGGGTACGTTATCCAACTATGATCATTAGAAATTTGATTTAACAAATTTATAATTTAGGACCCCCACTACGTTTCTGTGCACGAAGAGTCTGAGCACAGTACACCATCTGGTTTATCACAACATTATTTGATATGCGAACTACCGGAAAAATTGGATATTTTGTTTTCATTTATAAAATCGCATCTAAAGGTCAAAGGTCTGGTGTTCTTTTCAAGCTGTAATCAGGTATAAGAAATAGTATTTCAGCATTGATGTTTTCTAGTTGCTAATTCCTATTATTTTGCAGGTTCGATTTGTCTTTGAAACCTTTTGTAAAATGCAACCAGGGGTTGTATTACACCGTTTGCATGGAAAACAAAAGCAATCTAAGCGTGTAGAAATCTTTAATAAATTTTCTGCCGCAAGACATGCGTACTTGTTTGCTACGGACATAGCAGCTCGAGGACTTGATTTTCCGGCCGTTGATTGGGTGATACAAGTGGATGCACCAGAAGATGCGGATACATATATTCATCGTGTGGGACGTACCGCTAGATATGAAGCTTCTGGACATGCATTGCTTTTTTTGCTACCAAGCGAAGAGAAAGGAATGAAAGAAGCATTTAAAAAAAAGAAGGTTCCAATTGAACAAATTAAAGTGAAAACTAGCAAGACAATGAGCATACAAAAACAATTGCAATCATTATGCTTCAAAGATCCAGAAATTAAATATCTCGGTCAAAAGGTATGTGTTATATGGTACGTACACAATATCTGTTTAATGTTTGAGCTTTTACTAACTTCCTTCTGAATCACAGGCCTTCATATCATATATGAGATCTGTTTACCTTCAGAGTGATAAATCCATATTTAAAGTTGACGAGTTACCGGCAGATGAATTTTCTGCTTCTCTTGGGCTGCCCGGAGCACCAAAAATTAAATTCGTAAAGGTTATTATGAAAGATTGTTTTGCCATTTTTTTTTTTTTTTTTTGATTTTAACCAATTTCATAATCGACTATTAGAAATCACAAGCAAAAAATGCTGTACGCGATAAACCCGAAAAGAACTTGGAGGTGTATCAAAATGAGGAGGATAAATTTTCATCAGGTTCTGGAGATGATTCGGAGAATGAGGGAAAGTCAGAAACTTCTAAACCCAAAACAAAGCTAGAAAAAATATTCCATCGAAAAAATATGTCTGTACTCGCAGATCATTATAAAAAACTTGTGGACCATGAAGGTGACAAGACTACGAATGATGAGGACGAATTTATCACTCTTAAACGCGTTGATCATGACTTGCCAGAAGACCTAGAAAACATGGTCAGTCTTTTTGATAGTTTTAAACTAATTACATATTTCCTGATTCTGATTCAATCTAACATTAGAATCACGAGAATTTGTCGAAACGTAAACTTTCGAAAGTCACATCGAAAAAACATGCCATAAAGAATGTTCCTAGGGGTAAAAAACTCGTGTTTGATGAAGAGGGCAATGTAAGCTAGGGAATATGTTGTTTATGCACTATCTGGATTAATATTCTAAACTAAATATGTTCATATAATCTCTAGCCCCATCAGATATATGAATTCCAAGATGAAAAGGCATTCCGTGCAGCAGGGAGTGTGTTAGATCAAAAAAATGCATTCTTGGATAAAGAATTAAGAGTAATGAAAGAGGTGGATCGTTTTGATAAAGTAACTGCCAAAGAAAAACTTCGCGAAAAGAAATTAAAGACAAAGGCCAGATTAAAAGCCGAATTAGAGGATATGGGACCAAAAGCCAGATTAGCTTCACCTGTCAGCGGAGACGAAGAATTAGATCGAAGTGACATCGAGGATTCGAGTGAATATGAGTCTGGAGATGATGATTTCGAACAAGACCTGCAAAACAAAAGACGCTTTTCACCTGCGATCTCCGAACATGATGAGTCGAGTGAAGATAACATATCCGTAGGTAAAAAACGTAAAATAATAGAAATTGATGAACCATTGACATTAGAAGATCAGGAAGCATTGGCGCTTCAACTATTAAGAGGAAAATGATTGTACATCTAAAGTCACCCGACCGCAAGGAAATGAATCATGTACAGAATCTCAAAAAGACCAGGTCGATAGCGATAAACTTATCACTTTTGTTGTGACGGTTATTCGTTAGCATTAAGGCACTCGAATTATGTGCGCAAAAATAGAATATGCCTGGTTTCGTCTAATTTACCTAGTTAAAAAAAAAATTCAACTCTTGTATGAAATTAAAAAAAGACTTATGAAAGATTAATGTTATACTATAAAAACACCAAAGGTTGCAAATATTTACTAATAATATGTTTAAAATGTTAGTATTTAAATAATTCAATCAAAAATCTTTGTTACAACAAATATAATGATCTTTTTGCATTCAGAATAAAATTATTATCAGAAACATTTCTTATTAATAAAATTTTCTTTTATTCTTATTATTTATTTAATAAATCTTTATTAATAAATTTTATTATTTTTATAAATTAATTGGCATAAATATTTTGGTAAGTTTGTATATACCATATATGATTATATAATAAGAATAGTTCTCAGTGTGTTAATTACCATTAAGTTGTTTTTTTTTTTTTTAAAGTAGGTAAACATTATCTCTTTATTTTTGTAAAAATTTTAAATTATTTTATATGTAGAAAGTGACAATATCTCTCACATGACCAATTGATCAGTGAGTCTAATACTAGCTTGCTTACAGAAACTATCTAAGTGATATGAAAAATAAATATTAAAACTGATGTACATTCTAAATAGTGCTGAGCAGCTATGAATATCTACTTAGGTTTATATGTGAGACTATAAGAAATTAAAAATTGAAAAAAAAGAAAATACTAAACAAAAACAAAAAAAATAAGTATAATAACACTAATTGTAAAGCTATGAATGCTTTAGATAAAATTATTAGATGCACCACATTGATAGTTCTATTTAACTGAAGTATTGTTGCACTTCCAGAAATGGCCAGGCTACTGTCCAAAATGTACAATAGTGTTAATGATATATCTTTTTGATAGATAATTAGTCATGGTAATGGTATTGTTGTTATAGTGATATAATTTGTGATTGGTTTGTTTATTGGTAATGTGATTTTGTTTTGGTTGTTGTCAAGATTTTGTTTATATCGATCAGAGTATAGTGTTTTAGTTATACAAATTTGTTTGGAAAATTGATAGTGTTTGATTAGTTAAATTTGAAATGTTGATTAATTGACAGGAGTAAACTGATTGCAGTTTTTTAGTGAAAAATTTTTTGAATAAGATTTTTTGATTTTTGGTGATGCAGCAAAATATGCTGAACGATAGTGAAAAGTAAACATTGAATATATTGTTGGTGCTCCAAGTCAACAATATAAACAATTTTGATGTAAAGTCTGATTTTTTGAGATAAAAAGAAGTCCTTCAAGCAAAAAGTATAATTATTTAAAAAGATTTGTATATTGAAAAGAAAAGAAAATAGAAAGAAGACCTGTGGGTCTATAGCACAGTGATTAGTGCTCCACAGGTCAGATCACAAGATACCAGTTCAACTCCATGTGAAGACAGTTGAACAGTATCACATGGTATCTGGTACCATAACCTAATATGTGCTGTTTCTCATGCGAAGCTGTCTCACACACTGATTCAGTAGGCGTTGAGATTGTGATCTCCAGTTAAGGTGTCGTGACGTGTCAATCGTCCAGTTGGTGTTACGATGATCACACTACGTTTGGTGCATTTCCCGGTTCCCACAGGTCGCTTCCCTCCCCTATAGTCCACGAAACTATAAAAAGAATCCTTCGTGAACAGGTTTTAACGAGTTCCCTGCTTATGTCGTATCCAATCACTCAATACCCCCTGGCATAGCAGACTTCATGCAAAAAGACAAAAAGAGATTAACTCTAAGCCAATCTATCCCAATATGGAGCTTGTAGGTCTATCTCAATATGATGTCCCACAAGGGACTTAATAATATGGCCGAAGGGTAAGACATCAGCCACAGGTAGTGAGAATCTAGGCAAAAATCGTCAAGCTAAGTGCGTCTAGTGAGGGCCTACAAGATTAAATCGGAATCCAAGCAAGGACGTCAGTTCCACAGGTAGTGAAAACAGTAGTGCTGCGCTATGCTAGTGGCATAACTCGAGGATTGATGATAACAGTGACTGGAATACTGGGGTTAGTCTCTATAATAATATTCCATAATAACTTGCTCCCTGCAATAATGGACCAGCAGGTTTAGGCAGGTTTAAACTAGTGGTAAAATTCCCCCTGCGAAAGTTCCATCTGAAGTGTGAACATATTTACGTGATAGTTGAATGCATAGCCAGGTTACATTAGTGGTTAGCGTAGCTAGTCTTATAGAAATATATGTACTAATGCAGTGTTAAGCTGCAGATTAACTGTAGAAGACATAATGGTTGTAACACAACTTTATTCAAAAACCATTACGGTTAATTTGTAGAAGACACTTGATGTCTATCTAGATATTATATATTAATAAAGATTACATGCCGTGCGCATGTTCTACTATAAAAAAAAAAAAAGAAAATAGAAAGAATTCCAAGAAAGATTTATAAAGAAGTAATTGTTACAAACCTTTCCTCATGCAATCCAAAGAAAAAATAAGGTCCTCAAACTTGCTTTTCTCTGGCCAAAGATCCCATTCTGATGTACTAGTGTACTTCTTTGATTTCCTTGAGGCTATTGTAATGAAAAAAAAAGGAAGTGCGAAGGATTTTTGAGTATTGAAAAGCAAAAAAAATATTTGTTTATTTAATTTTGGAGAAAAATTACTATAAAAGGAAATTTTTAAGAAAAAAGTTGTGTATAGGAAAGAGTTTCTAAATTATTTTAATTACTATTAAGTTGTTAAACAACAATATATTGTAATTGATATAAAAAAAATGAATTACTTTATTATTTGTATTTAAAACTAATCAAATAATATTTTAACTATTTATAAAATTAATAAGAGATTTATTTAATAAAAGATTCTTAAAAAGTTCTAATTCTTGAATACAAAATCTTTTGTTATAAGTTTTTATATTGTGATCAAAATCCTTTTGGTCGAGTGTCCGAATAGTAGTTTTTAGAAGGAATTAGAGATTATATATAACTATCCATTGTTCCAAAGATAATCTCTCACAAATATTACAAGAAATGGTAAAGATTCCTCAAGAATCTTTGTAATCAAAATGTATTTAATAAAATAAGAATATTTATTAAGATACAAAAACAGAATTCCAAGCAATTACAAAAGTGAGTTATCCTAAAACTGAAAAACTAAATTCATGCATAGCAGCTACTTATATAGTGTTTTTCCTATATAGGCTGTCTGGGCTGCTTGGGGTGCTTGGGATGCTTGGGATGCTTGGGTTGCCTGATATACGTGTCACGATGTCCTAATTTCATAGATTAGATAGCCTTGTGAATCCTTTGAGTTTTATAGGCTGCTTAGGTCTCCTGGGCTGTTCGATCTATATTATATGGACTATAAATAACTATATGGATAATTATTTTTGAAGGCATCAAAAATGCTAGATATGATTTTTTCGGACCCAACTTTTAAACAATATATATAGTATAAATTTCAGTATCCCATCAGAAAATTTCCAGTCCATCTTCAAAAATAATTACCCATATATGCTATAAATAATTAAATAAATGTTATTGCTAAAAATAGAATAGAAAATAATCCAATAAAAAAATAAGTAAAATAAGACTAAGTTATCTATTCTATAACACATTCCCTCCCTTCAAAAGGTGAAGTCCCTGAGCCTAAACTATACATGTGACATAAATTATTTTGCTGTTAACTCAATTTCCAAAATTCTCAAAAATAATTGTGTCATAACTTAATTATTTATATGTTTTAATAGTGACTCAATTAATTGCGTCAAATAATTGTGTTAATTGTGTCAAGGATCTATGAATTTCAGCAACATGTATAGCCTAAACCCTTCACAAAAATCAAAAAATTATTTTGATAATCTTCATTAGTCATCCCGGCGATGTAGTGCATAGATAAATACTTTGTTCAATAAATTTGTTCCATATTCTTCTGAAAAATTTCATAGGTTTATATGGCAGATCAGTAATACCTCCCATGATTAGACAGTGGATATTTTTGGATATATTTTCTCCAAATTTGTTGCGAATCCTTTGTGACTTTCAATAATCCTCCTAAGTAATATAGATGGACTAATACAGCAATTCGATGATATTGTTGTATATATCGGATAATTTCCAAGATCATCATCCTAATAGATTCATTGATTGGTACAACTGGATTATATGGTATAGTAAATCTCTCAAGGGTTTCATCCAAAATGGAAAGCATATCCATTTTGAGTAAGTTCATTTTTCCCAAGGCAGATTGTTGGCATGTGAGTTTTGACA